CTTGGTCACTTTCTCCTTTTCCTTCACATGATGCAGGAAACTGTACAATCTGCATAAACCAATTAAAGGAAGCAGAGTCTGTACTATTTTGAAAAGGAGACAGAATTTAAATGTACCATTCCATCCATGCAAGCTGTCACTCCCAAGCAAGGTTGTTGCAGCTGTGTTAGTCCCAGGATATTAGCAAGACACAATGGGTGAGGTAATATCTTTTATTGGACCAACTTCTGTTGGTGGAAGAGACAAGTCAAAAGCTTGTCTCTCTCACCAACAGAACCTCAACCACCTTGTCACTCCAAAGTAATGCTGCTGGTTGATCGTGTATCCAATCAGTTGATATGATGGATCCACTTCCCTTTTGTGATGCTGAATAAAAAAGGAGATTGTCTGCACTATTATCACCAATGTTACACAATTGTGATCAATCTTGTGCAAAGTATGCCTTGTAAGGTATCATTGGAAATGTTATAATTTGCTAAGTATTATTATCCTGTTGAAATGTGTGTATCACCATTGTATATGAGATTATGACATTTTACTGTACACTTGTTACTACACTTATGTTCCTGGGTAACACCCACAAGACAGATTTACATCAGGTGTTGATGGGCCAGGTGTTGATGGGCCATTAAGGAGAATCAACTCTTCCAGTGCTCCTCCGGAGGATTCCTCTGATATCATACGGACAATGGAGGCCCAGTGACTCAGCAGGACATGTAGAATATGTGATGCTTAGCTCCATGTTTGAGCCAGTATTTTTCCATGCACGTGGATGGGGGGTATAAATTGGAGATGGTGACATCACCTTCTTGGCTCATGCCTCCCCCACATCTCTAGACTATGATTTCTAAACCTTTAGTTTTTAGTTTACTAAAGGATTGGCTACCTGCATGGGTTTTGGGTGAGATCCTGAAGAATATTTTGGTGAGTGGCTGGTTCTTTGGAACTGGAAGAACCTAATGTGAGATTAATTTTGGTTTTAATGGCCTTTCATCATAAAGTCTGGTTTGCCTGCGTGACACATGAAGGGCTCTCTTAGCCATGTCCCATACCAGGCAGCCTGATGCCTTTATGACACTGATGTGAAGCAGGAATAAATACACTGATGTCAATGGAAGTGCCTCAGTGTAAAATCAGTGAGGGCAAGAGAAGAATCAGAATCAGATTGACTGCTTTACACTGCTAGTGACAGCTTACTAAGGGAAAAATTCCAGTATTCATACAGTATAAATTACACACCCACAGCTGAATGCACATCTTATCAGACATCACTGTTCTGTGAATAGTGTAAATACCAAGACCACAAAGTGAGGCATTTGTCCACAATCTCCCAGGTCTACTAATGACCTCAGTGTTCACTGTGTTTTGTCAAAGAACACAGAATGAGAATTTTAGAGTCAGACTTAGTGGGTCGGGAGAGGTAAATCATACTGAAGTATTCGCAGGTAAGATAGAATAGGATAGCAGATATTTCATTGGCAGGTACCTTTAAGAAAGGGCTTTGTTCCATTACTACAAATGGAAGCTAAGTTCCAAGGTCTTCTGTTTCAAATCTGGACATAGTAAGGACTGAAGTCAAAATGATAACCTAGATATAACTGGCCATGCAACCCACACTGGCAAATATTCACCTCTAACATAAACAGGCACAACCCCTGGGTTGCATGAAGTATAACAGAGTGCCGGATGGGTAATCTTTATTATAAATGAAATAAAATGAGAGCAGAATTTGGATTAACATTTGTTTAAATACCATCACACCACTCAAGTCTTCTGTCTCAACAATGTCATAATAAGATCAATTGTACTGATTACACACCTCAGTGCTTATTTCCCACTTGTATAAAGCAGTCTCTCATTATTCCTTATTCATCCAGGAAAATAACTGTCACATATAGAACTGAGAACTAATCAAGCAGCCTTCATTAACAGTCTGGCTGTTGTGACACAAAGTAAGTCAGAGTTAATTCTGATATTCCTTCCTAAATTCATGCCATTGAATGAGGAGAAGGAAGTAAGTGTTTATTAATAATTACCTTAAGAATTTATCTTAAATTTAGAATTTCTTGTCCTGAACTCAACTTCAAATTAAAAAAAATATATGAATATTTCCTAATAGTAACTTCCTCCCACCTTATTAAATAAGTGTGGTTTTTTTAAAATGTACCTTTCACTCAGTCCAGCATAGTTCCCTGAAGAAAACAGATATTTAGGCCCCATGATCTGCTCAGTACAGATCTCTAACCACTGCAGCACCTGGGCCCACACTATTAGATTTTATTTCATGATCAAGGCCCTAGACATTATTTTAAGAACACACAAACAAGTATTCATAACCATTTTTAAATACACCCATAGACTTGATAGACCATAAGAGCCGTAGTTTCATAGTGAAAATAAGTACTGAGTTTTTAGTCTGGCCTCTTACAATATTATTATGTATGTTTTAAAAGTATTATAAAGAGAGATTCCTCTGCATGAGTCATGAAGACGTGTACAAGGGCTGATTTTGAAAGGGTAAGGACTCAACTATTTAACAATAAAAGCAAAAAAATCACTTTAAATAATATTGCATTGTACATTTTTGTGATGTCATTAATTCTAAAAAATCCCAGAGCACTTTTGGCCCAGTTCTGCAAGGTGCTGAGTGCCTGCTCTCTTCTCATTAACTTCAGCAGGAGTTAAGGGCACTCAGAACCTCTCAGCAGGCACTCAGCACCTTGCCTGGTAAGGGTCCTAATGAAGCGGAAGCACATCGACCATCAGTAAAATGCAGCCACCTCTTAGATGGAACAGATCAGCTATTTTACAGTGCATACCAACACTATACAACAGTTTGAGACAGAAAAGGAAGACAAATGGTTACTCCAACTGCAGGAGGGATTTTAGTTAAGCAGAATGTAATAACCCAGACTGGAATGCAGCTAGAATGCCAGAGTTGATACCAGTCCTCTTGCAAATAGGGTAATGAGATCTTTAATTATCACACAAGGTCAGGACTTCAATTTTATGTTGTTCTTGGGATGAGAACTCTCCAGCCGCATAATCTCCTGAAAATGAACCCTGTTCAGGCTTTTGTTCATTACCAAGTGAAAGGGAACCTATTAAGTGCTGAGAGTGCCACCTGTTATTCCCCTTACCCCCATCTCCTGCAGCATCTTGGGATTTCCTTGGAGGACTCTCAAACAGTACTAGCAAGGCCCAAGAGTGCTTAGATTACGAGACTTCATAGAAAATATAGCCCCAGGTGCCATAAGTGCAGTACTGAAAATTCAAAAAACATCTAATGCTAGTAAGATGCTTTAAAGAAATAATAATAATTAATAATACTTAGCACTGATAGTATTTTCTATGAATAGATCAGTAACAGTGCAATCTTTAAGTGGTTAAATAATTCATATGCAAATTCACTCCAAGCCAAATTTCAGCACAAGTTTATCATTGATTTCTATATCCCCAAACACAAGGGTTTATAATGTCAGCTGTGGCTAAAAATCAGTAGAGAGTGTTACTTGTAGCAATGATAAATAATATTTAGCACTTTACATCTTCAAAGTGCTATGTTAAAATTAGCTAATTAATCGGTGGCTTGAGGTGATCTGTAAAGGTTTCTCCAAAACAATAAAAATGAAAAGTTTTATTGAAGAAAAAGGGTTAAATGCCCCCATTTTAAATTAAAGTTCTTAGTAAAAAGTTCTTTGCTTTTTTTCTTTCAGTGTGGATTTATATCAGCTTTCACAGATTGAGAATTGATAAAACCTTACCGATGCTCCAGAGAAGAGCAGGCACAAAGACTATGTCTAGACAGCAATCAATGCATGGGTAGTAGCCAGCATACCCAAGCTATCTTTAATCTAGCTAGCTCAGGTCCCAGAACAGGGAGACCATGGCAGCACAAGCCTCAGCATAGGCTGTACAAGCCAGCCCAGAACCCAAAGTAATCACTCACAGGACTGGCCTTGTGAGACTAAACTTAACTTGGGCACATCAACACAAGCTGCAATCACACCCCACGACTGCAGTCTAGACGTACCCTAAAGATGTAGTAGAAGAATGTGAGAGTATGTAGGGCCAGTTGCCTCTATTTGAACCCATAATCTGAAACTGCACTAACTTATTACATAAATTTCACTTTAAAATCCTGTATACAGCTCGCCAGTGTTACTAAATGAAGGGTTCACATCTGACTTGAGCAACAAGCTAGGTTCTCCTTGCAGTTTCAGTTTGGTATGGTAACGCTTTTCATTTCCTGTCCTGTTGTGCAATGCTGCTGTGTTCTCTTAAGTAGTTGCATATGTAAACCCACAGGTCACTGCACTTCAGTGGTGGATGACATACATCTTCTTTACATTTATACAAGTTTGTTATATTTGGGATCCTTCAGCTTGAAGAGAGCAATATAATTTAAGATACTCATGATTCAGCAGGCTATAGTAAATGTGAAAAATTCGGACAAGGGGTGGGGAGTAATAGGAGCCTATATAAGAAAAAGACCCAAAAATCAGGACTATCCCTATAAAATAGGGACATCTGGTCATCCTAGCGGGCTACATTCTGCTAAAACATGGTTTCTTCAGACCCCGAATCAGTATGGCTAACAGAACCCTCGTGCATCTGCTGTTTTGTAGCAAATGCTTAAACACCTCCTGACGTACCTCTGAGGGCCAAATTCCCCTTCTTTTTTTTTCAATTATACCTTGGCATTCCCAAATGAATTTGGGCACCAAACCTCTGAAATTCCAATACTCAGTGACAACAAAATGGGAGGCACAGTAAACACCCAGTGAAAAAGCAAAGTGGATTATTTCAGACAAGTAAAATATGCCTGGAAAAGGAGATAACCTTGACACCAATAACCCAATGAGATGATGCTGACTACAGTCTAAGCTGCCCTGGATGGAACAGGAAAGACCTTCATTCATGATTAATGATGGGCCTCTCAAAAAAACCCCAAAACCCTCCAACCAAAGCAAATGAGTCATATTACAAAAAATAAGTACCGAGTATATTAGCTGTACACTGGAGAATTCCTGAGACATCTTCGGCTTCATCGTTGCCAGAGCAGTCTGTATAGGAGCATCTGTTCGATATATTGTGAAAGTTCTTTTCTGCATCCCTGTAACTAGGGGAAAAAATAAACAATTTCTATACATCTGCTTAACTTATGTAACAAATGAGTTGGGAGACTAACAGTTGATTATTAATGTGCTTTTGAAAGCGCATCCTCATTTTGTCTTTAACTATCTATAACGTAGGGCTTAATCCTTTTTCCATTCAGGCCAATGAAAAAACGCATGTTTATTTTAATGGAGCAGAATCAAGCCTGTAATATCTGGCAAATTAGATATTAATAAAGTGATTGGTGGGTGTGGGTATGTATATATATATACCCACACCCACCAATCACTTTATTAATATCAGCAATAGCAGCCAGTGTTGGGAACTGGAGCCAACATCTGAAAAGTAATAGTGAATAATACTGAGCACTTTCTGTAATGAAAATAAAGGCATGGGGGGGAGGGGGGAAACACCAAAGAGCTAAGTAGTGGGCAAATCTCTCTTCCTTTACATGTCATCCCCACTGGGGTGCTGTTCTTAGTAACTGTACACTAAACCAAAAGATTGTAGTAATAAGCCATAAACCCAGTGTCTTTCTTAACACCATATTTTTTAGTGTCTAGCAAAATTATGAATTTAAGCTCCCAGGCTCATCTCTTGAAGGTGTTGTGCAGGTTTCCTTTGAGGACAAGGACTGAGAGGTCAGATATGGAATGATCATTCTGTGAAAAGTGTTTGCCCATGGGTGATATGGTATTTTTGTCTTTTATCATTTTTCTGTGTGAGTTCATTCGAGAGTGTAGTAATTGTCTGGATTCATCCACATAGTTGTTATTGGGGCATAAAAATCCTGGTCTTAATAAAGACACTCTATTTATGGCTTATTACAACATTCTGTAATCCACTAACCTCCCTTTTTTGTCCTATAGCTGGAGAAGTGTTAAAGGGCCACTTCACCTTGAATGGTCCCTTAAAATATGTGTTAACTCCTTATGCTAAACAATCTATTCCATCTTCTATTTAGCTGTGACACTCTTACACTTAAAATGATGCATGCTGTAGCACTTCAGTGAAGATGCTACCAACACGGATACGAGGGGTTGTCCCATCGGCATAGATAATCCCCCTTGCCGAGAGGTGGTAGATAAGTCGATGGAAGAATTCTTCTGTCAACCTAGCATGGTCTACACCGGGGGTTAAGTTGGTTGAACTGCATCACTCTGGGGTGTGGATTTTCACCCCCCTGACCGATGTAGTTATTCCAACCTAAGTTCCTGGTGTAGACCAGTCCTTAGTACCTTCCCCAGACCTGAAGAACAATTCTGTGTAGCTTGAAAGCTTGTCTCTTTCACCAACAGAAGTTGGTCCAAATTTGTCTCTCTAATATCCTGTGACCAAAACGGCTACAACACTGTAAACCACAAATATTAATCAAGCCACTAAAGAAAAATGAAGGATAGCTAAATAAGTTTATCTTCCATTTCACTAATAAAATTTGGGCATGGATTTTGGGTCTGATCTTACTAAATACTGAGCCCTGCTGGGTGAAGAGAGTGCTCCCTACCTCCCAGCAGGCCCAAAGGCTCTCCTCCTCTCGGGCATATAGACAAGTCATTGTCAGTATGAAATGGTAGTTTGTACAGACTTTGCTAGTGCTTTTTATGTAACCTGTTGTAAACTAGGCAAATATCTAGATGAGTTGATCTGCCCCCTGAAAGATCTCTGCGTACCCCTTGGGGTACACGTACCCCAGGTTGAGAACCACTGCTCTAGCATGCTGAGCACCTCCTGGGAAGTTCTGAGCTCCTTTAACTGCCCATGAAGTCAAAGGGAGCTGCTTGACACTTTGCAAGATAAGATCAAATTGTTTGACCAAAACCAGAGGGAGTCAGTGCAGAGGCAGGACTGGAATGAAGGAGTTCCTGGCTCCCAGCCCTCTGTTCAAGCTACTAGATTATCTCTCTCCATCTCCTCTCTCTAGTCCATAGCCCTGATTCTCCATCACTTGCATCTTGTAGTCATTTACACTCATGTGCAGAGCTCTACTATTCCGATTTTGTTAGCACCTGTTATACACAGACTATACCAAGTGCAGAGCAGTAGAGAATGAGGCCCCAGGAATTCACTCTGTCAGAGAGCAAGTTTGGCTCTTTATGCTGATGTGAGTACTGTGTTTTACACTAAAGTGTATCAGGGAGATCCAGCAGGCTTATACATGCAAAACTCCCACTGGTAACTGTAAGAACTGCAGGATCAGGCCCAATATAGGACACCTAGAAGAGAGGCAGATATTGGATAAGCAAGGGGATATAGAAAGTTGTGAAAGTGAAGCAAACCATAGCTTAAGTAGCAGGCATAGCACCAGGAGCGACAGGTCTTTAGAGTGTGAGAAGAGCTGCCTTATTTTCATCTTCATTAAAAACAAACAGTTCTGAGTCACTAGTGGCCATGAATTAAAGCTACATTGTTATTATAAATATGCTGTTCTTAAAGCACTGTAGTTCCTCTCCTCCACCCTCCCCCTCCCCCGAGATATACTACTATGAGACTTCAAAGCAATCCCTTCAAGTGACAAAAAAAAATTGCCAGAAGGCTTCCCCCGCCTACCCATATCTGCTCCATAATAGATGTCATAACTACCAGCAAAGAGATATACTTGATCCCTGCAGCAATGGCACTCTCTCTATCCTGGGGTGCATGCTAGACGTGCTAGCATTACAAATGCTACGTAGCAGGATAGAGAGGCGTGTGAATTTTGACAAAATGTACAAGAACAATTCCCTCCAGCGTACGAAGTTTCAGAACTATGGCATGAATTTTAAATATACCTTTGACCCAACCTGAGTAATAAAAGAAAGAGTTGCAGACACTATTCTATGTTTGGCAGAGTTGTTTAATTGATACAGTCTTGCAGGCATCATATTCCGTTCGATTAGGAATGGTATCTGTGACAATAACAACACTTGGGTAGGTAGGGGATAGACAGAAAACAAAAGGGTAGCAATAATTGTTGGAATGATTAATATTATCTTGTCATAGTTACCCTGTCCTCCCTCCCCCTCGCCTGTTTGTTTGTTTCAGCCAGCTGTCAGAACTTGTTTTTTAGGCTCGTATCTGGCAACTGCCTATGCAAGTGAGTAACTCCATGTGACTATTCATGTACTGAAAGCTACTCATATGTATAACTGTTCGCAGGATCTGGGCCTTAGACTGTAAGCTTTTTACAATATGCCTATCCAGCACAATGGGATCATGGTCTGACTGAAACAAACATTAGTAATAATTAATCTGTTATGTCATTTTGGCTGACTGTGTGAAGAGCACATTCTGAAAAATCTTATACTTTAACAGAAAGGCTCCCCAACACTGACATAAGTTCTACAACTGCTCCTCCATGGGCTCAGTCCCTCTCCCATTGACTTGAATGAAAGGAGGATTGGGCTATAGTTATTTAACTGCAGCAGGAGAGATGAAGAATAACACAAAAAGAATGTATAATATTTATCATTACTGAGGAAAATGCCTAAGTATCTGTGAGCAAATTCAGAAAAGTTGGTTACTCAAGCCAACGACTTAGAAGACAGAAAGATATTAATTCTACAGCTATCACTTCTCTTTTATTCACCCTTCTAATCACTACTGTGGTCTGTTTTACTTACCCAATAACTTGATGCTCATAATACCGCAGTGTCCTTTGGAGAGTCTGCCGTATGGTCTGAGGCTAAAGAATAACAACAAAAACAAACAACCATTATCAGCAAATCAGCAGCAGCACAATGTCTGAATAGGTGACTACTGCTTTATCCCTTAATATACTATTTGTTTTTCCAATTCTACACATTTTCATCTTACACCTGCCATGTTTCCAGCAGTGATGGCTAGGTATTATCCCAGAAGTACTACTAAGCTGTTCTTATATTGCAAATACATCAATATTTCATGGCTCTTTTCCTTATACTTTATTTCACTATTTAAACAGAAATGAATGTTACGACCTGGCACAACTAACGTTGTCTGTAAGACAACAGAAACACAGCTATGGGCTGGTCTACACTAGGGGGAGGGATCGATCTAAGATACACAACTTCAGCTACGTGAATAGCTTAGCTGAAGTCCAAGTATCTTAGATCGATTTACCTCGGGTCCTCACCGCGCGGGATTGACAGCCGCGGCTCCCCTGTCGACTCCGCTACTGCCTCTCGCTCTGGTGGAGTTCTGGAGTCGACGGGGAGCACGTTCGGGGATTGATTTATCGCGTCTAGATGAGATGTGATAAATTGATCCCTGATAGATCGATTACTACCCACCGATCCGGCAGGTAGTGAAGACATACCCAAAGTAGACAAAGGAGGCCCTTGCTTTATTATTAGTTTTCACAGAATATCACCTGTCAATAATCTCATCATTTTAAAATAAACTTTAAAAGCTATTCAATAACATGTTATTACATCAAGACATAATGAACCAGCTTTTTCTTGGGACAATATCATATGCTCAATTTTCATCAGCAGGGAAGGCAATTGGCCTTTCCAAATCTATTTGAGACATTGTTGTTGAAAAACTCACAGAAAAATTTGTTTTAACAAAATAAATAAAAAAAATCTATTAAGGCCCAGTTCTCTGACATGTCGTGAACCTTCAACTCTCTGAAGTCAACAGGAGTTAAGGGTACTCACCACCTGCAGAATCAAGCCCTTAAAGGGCAAATTGTGAGGAGTTTCAGGCATTTTTGTGCTATATATTTAACAAGGGCTCCCCACACGGTCTCTTATTATGAAGTGCTCTCAACTACAGACAAGTGCTTCTTGGTATTGCCCAAATAAGTCATGAGAGCACTTTATCTTCCCAGAAAGTGAGGGGCATTTATCAAATACATTATTAAGCAATTATATTTTAAGGTTCCCACCTGTCCACCTTCTCCTGTCAGTTTAGCAGAGCCCATATTCAGTGTTCCCAATTCTGATACACAAGATTCCCTGTTGTCTCAGTGTCACGCAGGATCACAGGATAACCAAAGGCAGACAGGGTCAGAATCACACAAATTTGACCCCTAGGGAAATTTGAGACCAGTGTTTCCCTGCTTTTTGGAACAATTTCCAGCTGCCTCAGAAAGCAGTGGTAGAAATGCTTTTTAATTAGATCTGTTTCATTCCAGAACCAAGGGCAGCCTTGCGGCCCCATATTTTGTTGGCCCTATACAAATTCAGCAACTCTGGAGCTAGCCTTATCTTCCACTTCTGCCAGTGGGATTTGGAGAGGAAGGCAGCTCCCTGCTTTTGAATAAATAATAAAATAAATAAAAAGGAGAAAACTGTAATATAATCCTCTCCCCCCACCAGCTCTTTGGGGCCCACAAAATGTAAGAGCAGCCCACACAATTTGAAGAAGAGAGCTTTTTAAAAAAAAAACAGCAAACAAAAGAATTTGTCTGTGCTTCTGAACTTCAATCTGCAGAAATGCATGTACTTGTAAAATAAAGTGGGAAAATAGAGTTCAACCTTCTAAAGAGGTTTTTATTCTACATCAGGTAATTACATCTCCTCTCAGCAGGAGTTAAATTTACTCTCTCAGAAAACATTCAAATGCGCTCTTGCAAAACCTACAGACGCTCCATACAAATGAGACAATCACACTTGCAAGACCCAGTCTCCTCCCATTTGGTACAGCAGGTGTCGAAGTCCTAAGGGCCTGATGCAGCTGAAATGTACTTTGGCAGCTGCTGCCACAAGGAAAATTCAGCAGGTTTCCTCTGCTCTGCAGCCATACAGACTAATCCCTGGCAGCGTGAGCAGCGGTACATTTTCCCACTCCGGCAGCCATGATGCAGAAATGGATATAAGAAAAGAGGCCCAAACAGTTGCCTTCTCTACACTCCAGCTCCCCTAACCTTCTCCACACACTCCCATATCAGCTGCTCCCTGTATGATGCACACACACTCTACAAACTTGTCCCCTCCTCCCCTGCATCTACTCTGGAGTGAGGTGGGAACGCAGCCTGACAGCAGCTTCCACTTGTTAAACTGCAGTTCTGGTTTCCTAAACTGCATCTAGTCCAGAGGTGTGGGAGGCAGCACGCTAGGGAGGCTGGGCTGCAGGAGCAGAGAGCAAGCAGCAGAACTCCTGGTTCTGCTTTCTCACATTAAAAGGTTGCATACCTCAGACTCTTAGCTCCACCCCCAATGGAATGTCTGTGGTCCTCCCTTTTCTGAGGGATAAAAGCCGCACTCCTCACCTAGGCTGACATCAAGATTTGGCCCTACAAGCAGGCTCCCAATCCTACGCTCTGTTCAGCAGTGCACACAGTATGGTTTCCTGTAGGGTCTAACCCTGCAAGAACATTCTGCACATTTTAGCCATCATCACTGTAGTCCAAATTATGTGCATAAATTATTGACAGCATGTTATAACAAAACTCAAGCCACTTATCAGCAAATCTCAGAAATTAGGGATGGAAAAGATCTGGATATAGTTTTATGATATTGTTTGTAAACATAGCCTTATATAATGTGTTCATCTTGCATATGAATGGTAAAGCTCAAGGGTCAAATTCCCACTTCATTCAGTCAGATTGCAAATGAAAATTGTAACCAGTTTATAACTGTGCAAGGATAGCTGAGGGTAGAACATGAACCTGATGATTTATTGTTCAGATAGCAACTGTATAGTACACAATATGCAAAGCCACATTTACAAAGAAGAAGGTAAAAATATTTCAAATAAAGTTTTTCTATATTCACTAGAAATATCTATTGGTTTGTGCTAGAGATCTACAAACTACTCAAAGAATAAAAATTTGTTAGTGTTATTCACCCCTATACACCTCTACCTCACTATGACGCTGTCCTCGGGAGTCAAAAAATCGTACCGCGTTGTAGGTGAAACCGCGTTACATGGAACTTGTTTTGATCCACCGGAGTGCGCAGCCCCGCCCCCCTGGAGCACTGCTTTACCGCGTTATATCCAAATTTGTGTTATATTGGGTGGCGTTATATCGAGGTAGAGGTGTATTTATGAAAATTTCCATGGTTTTAAAACTTGAAATGCCCATTAAAATCAACAGAGTCACACAGTTAAATCCCCAAATTCTGAAAATGTTTAAACAAAGTGGACATTTTATATTTAAACTGAAGTCATCAGGAAAAATACAATTAGTTTTCTGAAGTGGTAATAAGAAAAGAAATTAACAAAAGAAGTACAAGTTAATTTAACAAAACAATCCAACATAAATTATCTTCTAAATTAATCCCATGTGTAAAACTGTAATCCTTTCATGAGCATGCGCACACACATACACACATCAAAGCAAGCATTCAAAATAAATGAAATAAACCAGATAGATAAAGAGAATACATATGGATCCATGTGAGATATATTTAGTGCACAAATGAGAAATGACCACTAATGACTTGAACACTTCTGAATTACCATTTAAATACAAATCCCCCCATGTAGTCTCAGTTGGATATGACTGATAACACCATTATGAAGTAGGTAAGTATTGTGAGAATTAATTAAACTAACAAATGCTAAGTATCATATTATTATTCACTTCCTGATTTATTTATTACACCATGTTGCTATGCTCTGTTAAAAAGCTGCTGTTTCACTTCAGAGGCAGCTGCATTTCACTTCTGGGCAATGTGATTCTAACATGGATCTGACTGTGTCCACCCACACAAGAGTAAGCAATGGAAGGAGAGGGGGTAAGGAACACCCCTCATTGTGCCCATGTGCAAAAAGCCATCTACAATGACAGCTTCAGTGCTAGTGCCACCCGTTTTATATTTTCCAAAGGGGACAGGGAGTGGGTGGGTCTCCTCAACCTTTTGCACTTGCCAGCAGAACTGGCTGGACACAGAATATACTGCACCATCTCCAAGAAGCACAATCCACCTGAGCTCTCTGGAGCTCCAGGAAGCACTGCATCTGTCTAAGATAAAGTGCAGCTTGTAACTATCTATGGGACAATACACCTCTTCTCTGCCCCTAATATACGTCTTTGCCTTAAAGGCACAATAAAACCACATATTTATTAGAGAAGTGCTAAAGCTCATTGGCATCCTTTGAAATGGAAGACTCTACATACGTATAAAATAGTTATAATAATGTCCCTAAGCCTCTAACTGTCAGATGCTGGGACTGGATGACAGAGATGGGATCATTTGATGATTGCCCTGTTCTGTTCATTCCCTTTAAAGCATCTGGCATTGGCCACTGTAAGAAGACAGGATACTGGGCTAGATGGACCACAGGTCTGACCCAGTATGGCCATTCTTATGTTCTATAATATTATTAACTATTCACCAGTAATTAGCTCACATTTAATATATAATCAAAACAAAATCATTAGTTTATAGTTAAGTTTTCTAAGTGCATCACCAAAACAATAAACACGCACAGGACTTGCCACACTGGATTCAGACCTAAGGTCCATCTAGTCCAGTGTCCTGCGTGACAGGAGCCAACAACAGACTTCTGAGGAAGGTGTAAGAACCATGCAGCAAGCAGATATGGGGTAATCTGCCCCCCACAGTAGGTCTCACCCTAATCTAAATAGTTGGAGATTTTCTCAAGCACTGAAGCACAAGGTCTAACATTCCTTTCAAAGCTTTTGTTGGCATTAAGTATTATAATTTTGAATATTCTTGTTATACATATCATAGAATCATAGAAGATTAGGGTTGGAAGAGACCTCGGGAGGTCATCTGGTCCAACCCCCTG